TCTTATTTGACACAAATAAGCACAAGTGACACAAAACTCATCTAGTTCTTATTTTTATTACTGCTCAGTTATTGACATTGGCAGTAGAATGAGAACATTGTCCTGTAGGATAATTTAGCTAAACTAACTGTTGATTAAGTTACAATTACTGCTGCTGTCTGTCATGCTTTTATTACTGCTGAGCTTGAAGACTTGCTGTTATTTGTCATTCTTTATTGATTAGAATCTCCCATATTGTATTTATTTCTATGCTAGGCCAACTAAGAGGGTCCCATAGCCTAGCATATGCACTGATTCTTTCAGACATCTAACTCTCCAGCTTTCTCCTTTGTGTGACGTCACCCTGGGCCTCTCCTGTGTTATCCTGTGATGATCTAACCCTTGGCTGATTCAGATGGAAATCTGGTTAGATTCGGCATCAGCTTTGTCGTTCCCAGCTCACCTCCAACGTCTGGTTACTGAAGTAACTGCTTTGATTTCTAGTCTAACCTACCCACGTTGTGATTTGATCTTAGGTAGACGAAATCAATCAGTCGCCGGGCCGTAGTGCAAACCGAATTCGAGCAAAGGTGACACCGCACAAGTATATTTAAAAGAAAATAAAGTAACAACTTGAAAGACTCAAATGTGTTAAAAAGAGAATAACAAGTAGCTTTATATCTGGTTGCTGAATACAGGACTGCATCTTTCTCCCAAACCACTTCTATGGATACATGACACTTTGCGTTTGTTAGGCGAGTCTTAATATCTTAAGTTGTTTTTCAATAACTGGTTTTTGGTGTCTTTAGGTGATATTTATAAAACTTGTTTTGGTGGTGTAAGTCTAAGTCGTTCTTCAAAAAAAAAGATTGTTTTTGGTTAGAAGTCTAAGTCGGAATGCGTGGATATCTTTCAGTCAGCTGCGAGGCTGGTCTCCGAACTCACAGCTCAACTCTGTCTACTCTGTCACTCTGTCTACGTCTGCCCAACTGCCACTGTCTCTGCCCTGTAACTCACTCTGCTCTGTGGATGTTCGTTTATATGGACGCCGACCAAAACCGGGTGGGGGCCTGTCGTGGTTTGGGTTCTTTTTTAGAGGGGTTCTTAAGGGAATTGTCCTCCCAAATTCTTCCTTTCTCATATTGGTATCTCACACCAATCCCCTCAGAGGGCGTCAACAGGTTTCCCTTCTTTCTCATATGTTTATAGGTAATAGATTAAATTTAGTATTTCCAATTACAAAATACTATGCTGTATTTGAAAGTAAATTTAAATTGATTTTTTTTAAATTCTTAAGACAGCATAACTCCCTTTATTAAAAAATCTTTCAAAAATAAAAATATTTTTTAAAACTCTATTTGATGAAGATTAACTGATTTAAAGTTTAATTGGTCTAAATTAAAACAAATATTACTTTTATTTTAAAATATCACAGAAAATCATTTTTTTAACACAGAGACAGTTGTTTTTATGGGATGCTAACATATTTATTGATAACCTGATGTTTGGCATTTTTAAGTAACATAAGTTAAGTTTTTAAAATAACTGTAACAATTAATTGAATACATGAATACAATTTTTTAACTACCAAGTGATTTTAAAAATTTAGAAAAATATTCTAAGTAATCTCATATTTTATTGAATTATAGGTACTTTGGATTTATAGTTTTACTTACAAAGATGCTTGTTGAGGCAATGTTAGAAAATTACTAGTAAATTTTAAATTTAATCTAGTTACTACTGTTATTTTCTAATAATGTTTTGTATGGACACCTGTATTTACAAAAATCAGCACATTTATACACAAAAAGAAATTCAAAATTCTTTTTAAAATACTAGGGATTGCTGAATTTTAGTAAGCTTTTTCATTTATGATGAGTAAATATAGTTATTACTTAAGAATAATAGCACTTAACTGCTACAAATTTATACAGAATTTTAAAGATTTAAAACGTTATAAATTACTATAATTAAAATTTTAAAAAAATAAAAAATGAAAACAATTTTTGTAAAAATTCATTATTCATCAAAATTTTTTTTTTCTGAAGACAATAGTGTCTACAATATTTTTTATTCATAAAATCAATTAAAATCTTTTCTAATTAAATAATGTCTTAGTTTTATTTCATTTTTTTATTTTATGATTCAGAGTAGAATTTCTGTAATTGGTTGGTCCTGTGTGACATAAAAAAAAATTGATGATTTAAATTCTCCAACGACTTGTTCTTATAACTAATATAAACATTAAGCACTACGAAAATGAATTTCTTGAAAATTATTAAATTATGTAAGTGGGAGGTTAACCTATGTAAAAAAAAAAAAAAAAAAAAAAACATTCACCAAGATTTTCTAAAAAAAAAAAAAAAATTTCTAAAATAATTTAATTCATTTGTGAATAAATCTTGAAAATTTCATTAAAATTCAACAATTATCTGATTTTTGCTAGAATTGCCAAATCAATGTTTTTCACTACAAAAGGATGCTCAAATTTCCCGTACAAATTTGTGGTCTACCATTGATGAAAAATAAAATTTTTAACCAAAACTTCAAAGGTTCTAAAAAGTATTAAAATATATAATTTAATAATAAAAATATTTTGGTCTTTCCTGATGATAATAAAATAATGATTTTGACAATAAAATATTGTTTTTATTAAATCTGGGGCATTTTTTCATCATGTATACTCATTTTTTAGCAAATCTTTGGAGGTACGTAAAAAATATTTTCTACTTCTTTATCAATGGTCTTAGTGGTAACTATAAATCACATAGAATGAACATTATAATGTGAGAATTTCAGATCAAATGTTATCAAATGTGCCAGGTTACAAACTTTTTTACCTCCCTTCTCCCCTTAACTTTAGCAAATACAACTGTATGGATGAAATAATTGCAGATTTCCGACTGGTGACAAAGGTCAGTGTTTTAGATGCTGATTTTCAAGGCAAGTAAACAGGCCCACTTCAGTCAGAAAATTGGTTCAATATAAACTTCCCCATCCTCTTCCAGTTTATGCTTTGACTGTGAAGTTTACGTGGGTGTTTACAGGTGCCTATCTTCAGATAACATCCTTAGACCCAATATGCACCAATTTTTGGCCTTTTAAAAATGAATACAAACATAATTAGAACAAAGATATATTTTGTATGTGCTGATAAAAAATTTATATCTCTTAAAATAAAATTTAAAATATTTAAAGAGTTCATAAATTTATATCATAGAATTCCTGTGTTGAACATCTATGTCCTTTAGCATAAGATAGAGAAGAGAGTCCTTGTAAATGGGTTTGTATGTATATATCTTGTTAAAATTAGTAATCTTTTTGACTGTGAGATTTTTAGGTGTCCTTATAATGTAGGACATGGGAGAACATAGAAAATTATTTCATCAACTCTGTTTCCCTTTACCTGGTTGTCTCAGTGTTTATCACTTTTTTCAAAACAAAGGAATTGATTTCAGAATTGTCTCTTGCTTCTTGATTGGTTCACAGGTGTTCCTCATTTGACAATCCTTTTTTTTTCTTTGCCTATATTTAGGAATGATGACCTTTTGGCCGCTTTTATTTAGTTCTTTTTTACTGTTTATTTGTTTTTATTTCTTTATGGCAAACCAAAATGGTTTGTCAACTTTTTGTTTTGTTTTTTTTTTTTTTTGAAATAGTGAACTTTTTATTTATCTCTCACTACAAAACAATATGGCTCCTCTCAGACCAATTAACAAGGTGGACTAGCAGACAATTCTTATTTCAACAGTTCACCAAGTGAACCATATTTGTATTGTGTTAGATTTTAATAACTGCTGGGCAACTGTTTTTGGGTAATGATTAACAGGCTGCATTTTGATGCCGGTTAGACATTGGGATATTGGAAATTCTGGAGTGAACATTAGAAACTCCACCCAAAATAGGGTAGTTTAGGCTTGTTTTGCCTTAGTTTTTTTTCCATCAAAGTTAACATAGCTAAGGAATGTATGTTCATTGGCCCCATTTATTTTTGTCTTCACTTTCTTTAGTTTAATTCCCCCTATCTGCCCACATTAAGTGACCAGAGATGTCAGTCCTCTGGTGAATACAACACACCTTTCTTTATTGTGCTTTTCATATTTGTTGTGTGATGAGTATATGCTTTGATTCAGTGCTTGGTTGAATGACTGTTTGAATTATTAAAGTCCTGCATTAATTTTGTTCAGTTAATTGATGTTTCTGCCATAATTAGGGATTTGTGGGGGTTCTATTACTAACACTATTTTACTTTTTTTGTTTCTTGTAAATAGATCTTATTTTTATTGTAAATATTCATTAAGTTTTTTAAATTTTTAAAAGTTGTTATTTTATTCCCCCCCCCTACAAATTGTACATATGAAATTAGTTAGGGCTTCATAGAGTCTTTGAGGTATTATGGTGTATGGAGTAAGAATAGTCAGTATATTTACTCAGCCTCCCCATTAAAACTCGATCTAACACAAGGTCATTTTAACGTGGGGAGAGCCATATGCATACTTATGCTGCATGCATATGGGCCAAAGACAAAAATTGATTTTTGCCCAGACCCCACAACCACTGTCATCAGTATTACACTGACCCAACCTCTTCAGTGTGATGAGGAAGGTGCTGCCACTGAGTTGGAATCTCCAGGGCTGAGCAACTTCTCCCATCTAGAATGAGGAGAATCATTGCTCCACTTACAGCAGAGGGACATCAACCACGCCTTAGTAAATGTGTTGTTTTGGTGTAAGGATTAAATTGGTATGTTTGGGTCAGTGATTGTGGCTAGCTAAGTTTAAACTTTAAAGACAGATGAAGACCAGCCTTCCCCATTCCACATTTTGGTCTCGTGCATTATTTGTACATTTTCCGTACAATGCATATCATGATTAACAGGCCGGACTTAGTGCAACGGAGAGGTGCAGCCCGGGTCCCTGGATGGAATTCGATCATCATGTAGGCGACAGGAAACTCTTGTGTCTGGGAAGCGGAGCGGTGGTTGTGGGGCGTGATCAAGGGAGATAATCGAAGAATCCAAAATGGAAGACATTGTCAATTTGTTGGAGACTTACCGTGGTCGGGATAAAGTCATTCGTCTTTGCTGTTATGGAGCGATGTTGTTGGCAGGCAAGGATGGAAAAAATAGTCGATTATTACGAGTGAGTGCTGCTTTGTCCGACTGTCGAGTTGTACTTCGTTTATTTGACGACATTCCCATGTTGGCTTACAGTCTTCAATATGCTAATTCCGCAGCAAAAGTAAGTCAGGACTTTTTCACCCATAAAAATAAAAATCTTTTTTTTTTAAATTAAATTAAAATAAATTTTCAGCGCATTTTTTTTTTTTAATTTTTTTTTTTGTTTTAGTTTTTTAATCTCTAAATTTTTAATAAAAAATTGAATTATTTTTTCGCTATCATTTTTTAATAAACATCGACAAATTGTCAAGAAAATCTTGTGAAAGTTTTTTTTCACCGTTTCTGTAGATTTCGCTTTTATTAATTTTAAACTCAAAGTGATTTTACTTAAGTTTAAAGAAATGAGTTTTAAATTCACTTTAATAAATGCTGTTAAATTGAAATCAGTTAAAATTTCGTTATTATTTCATTTGTGCATTTTTTAATTTAAATATTTTTACATCGTTTGTAACTTTGAAAAATAAAATTTTCTGTTCAATTTTTAAAGAATATTTACTTTGAAAAAAAGTCATTTCGTTAGTTTTATAAATTTAATTTATAAACAAAAAATAATTGTTTTTTTTTGTAAAGTTTCAATATTTTTTAAATTAAAAAAGAATCCTTAAAACAAAACTCGAAAATTTTTTTTTTCGTTTGTCGTATTGAAATGTATATTAAAAAAAAAAAAAAGAAATTTTTCGTATTTGAAAATAATTTTTTTTTATTTAATTTTATTTACATAAAAGAATATTTCTTATTTTTATAATTTTTGAAAAACTTTTTTATGAAAAAAGTGAACAAATATAAAAAAAAATATTTTCCTTTTTTTTTTAAAAAAAAAATTCTTTCATTTTTTATCAGTTTTTATTGAAAAAAAAATATACAAATTAAATTGTTGGTTTGTTAGGTTTTTAATTATTAAGTCCAGGCTAATTAAAAATTTTCTTTATTTTTTTTCGTCACAGCCCTCAGGTCGTTACAATAATTCTACGACCATTATTTAAGCAACATAAATTCAAAAATGAAGTAGACTTCGACGTGATTCGATCTCGCTTCCCATTATGATTTTATTTTTACTTACACGATCCTTACTTAAGAACTGTAGAATAAAAGGAAAAATGATCTGACGTTGTGAATAATAAAAATGGTGATGATGAAAACTTAATTTATTTTTTTTTTAAATTAATAATCACGATCAGGGCCAGATCTAGGTCTTAAAGAGGCCTCTGAGCTAATAGATTGGGTCGGGCGAGATACTTCATTACGTCTGTTCACACCCCCCCCTACTCACACACATGTCTATAAGAAAAACAAATTGTGGGGGTCTTCAAGAGGTCTCATCGAGTTTAAAAGACCCACCCCAATTAGTGATGGACCCAAATAATTGTTTCAGTTTGTTCAAAGAAACCTCATTAAATCTGAAAATAAACAAGTCTCCTCTGTTTTCTTTGTTATCTTTATTTTTTTTTTTTTTATTGGCCTTTTTTTTTTTTATCAGTAGCCCAAAACAAGGGGTTCCTTTGGGCTCCCTGGGTTGCGGCCCATAACTATTCCATATGTAAATTCGGCACTAAGGAAACCGAAACAAACACCATCTCAATTTAAAAGTTTCTTTTTTTTGTTGTTTTTTTTTTTAATATTTGTTGTTCTTTCTATCTTTTTGTTTCTGAAAAAAAAAAAGAAGAAAAAACAATTCACCAGGGCATCAAGGATCCATAGTTGCCATACCTCCCCACTGTACTTACAAATGATAAAAGGTTTAAGAAGACATTCCCTGATGCCTGCAGCTTAATTAGATTGCCTTGTGTGCATCATTGTTTGCTGTAAATTTTAAGTTAATACCATTTTATCTAAGTTCTTATTTGTTACTTGTACAATAAACTTCTTAAGTACGTTTCATATTTCTCTTCTTGAGATTTCTTGCTTAATAAATTTTTTTTGTAGTTTTTATTTTATTTATTTATTTATTTATTTTTACTTTTTTGTGTGTGGTAATTTTCTGGAGAGGTTAGTTCGATTTTATTTTATTTATTTATCGCTAGTCATTTTAAAATTATTTTATTAAAAAAATGGAATGATAAACTTAACTCCTCTTAGTTTCGTTTTTAAATTAAATTAATAAATCTTTTTACTAAAAACTAAAAAGTCTTAAAAGTTGGATAAAATAGAAATATTTTATAATATTTTTTTAAATTTATTTCTTAAATTATGTGCCTTTTAAATCAGATTGAGTTATTAACAGGCATCTCATTATTCTTAAAATCGTTGTATTCGTTGGGATGGTGATAGTCAGGAAAGGAAATAGTCTCATTTAAAATAAACTGGACATACAATCATTTGGTAGGTTCATTATTAAATTTTTTTCTTTCTGCGAACAAACATCTGTTTCTTCACTTTTTTTTTCTTCGCTTAAAATCATGAATTATCTCCCTTGTTTCTTCAGGATTTTCTTTTTTTCTGTTAATGTCTTTTTAAACAATTTATAGCTTTAAAAGTTTATATATACACACACACACATATATACGTACATACATACACACTACAGTTTAAAAGTTTGACGCCACCCCCAGAATTAGCATGGGATGAACTTGACAGAAGAGTGAAAAAAAGAATGAAAAAGAGCTCTTAGAGTCAATGAAAAAAAGAATGAAATCAGTTATCAAACTTATACTTTGAGAAACAAATGACAAAAATTTGTGCTGCAGTAATCAAAGCTAAAGGAGGATATTTTGACAAGAGCAAAATTTAATCATAAATTTTTTTTCTTTTTGTCATAAAATTTCTAATAAAAAATCATGTCTCACTTTTTTTGACCATGTATAATTTTCTCTTATTTAAACTACAAAGCGACTACATTTTGGGCCAATTTAAAAAATTATCAGGCTTTCCTCAAACTTTTGAACCGTAGTGTCTGCACACACACACATATGGGTTAATTAGTTAGACTAATTTTTTTCAATATTTTACATCGCTACACAAACATTTTTATGTTTCAGAACTTAAAAATTGTTCCATGATCAGACAATGTTTGGTAACTTATTATGAAAATGATTTACTTGGGAAATTAGAAAACAATTCGGTAGCTTATTTGATAGTTAAAAAGGAGTGGGGAAATATTTCAAAACTTTGTGGGTATTTCTGGGTTAACCAATCAAAAGATGGATCAAAGCTAAAATAGAAAATTTAAAAATTAGGTCAAAAGTTAGAGGTAGGTGGGTTATTGATTCATTTCTAGATGAATTGACACTTTTAAGGCACATCAACGTAGACGACATCCAGTTATGTATATAAATTTAAGATACAGTGAAGTAGACAGAGATATATATTTAACAAAAGGTTAATTTTAAAGAATTTATTTATATACTTGAGAACTATCTTAAAGGGGCTTCTAGGTGATTAAATCATTTTTATATTATTTTAAACCCAAAATACAATACTTATTATATTGAACGGGCAATAAAACATGGTGATATTAAAGTTAAAAATTCAAAGAATTAAATAACTATTATATGGACCATTATATATTAATAAAATAATGGATATATAATTGTAATGCATAGATTTTTAATGAAAAAATCTATTAACTATATTATAGAATGCCTACAAATTACTGTTAATTCATTTCACTGATTTAGGAGGTCATTATTTTTAGGAATTTTCATAATTATGCAGCTTTTCATGTAGACACAAGGAACATGGGTCATTTTAAGTACTTACAAATTCTTGTTTATATATATATATATATATATATATATATAATATATATATATTTTAAGACATTTTTATGTTTATACATTCTTTTTTATAGATACAAATATTTAAATAAATTCTCTGTTTATAATAAACAGTATTAACATTTACTGGCCTTAATGTCCGAGAAATTGTCATAGAAAATATGCATCCTCTGACAGGAATTGAACTTCTATCCTATACGTAACCGTCATATAGCCTGATGTGCTTTTACCGATTTCGCCACAGAGGAGCGTTTCAGTTAGCAAGGTCGATATTACTGTTTTTAAACTACAATTTTCTATGGTTTTCTCACATACATTCATATCTGTTCGATGTGTATGCAAATATAAACAAATGACATCACATATTATGAAATGGACAAAGTCTAACAATTATTTTAAGACATTTTTTTGTTTATACATTCTTTTTTATTCATAATGTGTGACATCATTTGTTTACATTTGGATACGCATCAAGCAGACATATTAATGTACATGAGAAAATCATAGAAAATTGTAGTTTAAAAACGGGACAATCGACCTTGCTAACCAAAATGCCCCTCTGTGGCGAAATCGGTAAAAGCACGTCAGGCTATATGACAGTTCCATATAGGATATAGGTTCGATTATCGGGTACCCATAATTGTACTCATGGGCAGGGTCTAAAAATTGCCAGATCCCACAACTACCATCATGTCAATATTCTACCACCCTCCCCCTCTTTAGTGCAATGAGACAGGTGCCGTTGCAGGGATGGAATCCCTGGGACCATGCCTTAGGATTTCTTTCATGATCTGTCTGGAGACAGATATATAATTGAGAGGTAACTTCATTTCATTCTTTATATTTTGGGCTGGTATGAAAATGAAATATCTGTACCTCAACCCCACCTCTCCACTCTGTTGTGTTTCTGCCTTCAAACAGTTCATGGAGAGAGTGTTCAGGGTTGCCTAGATCTGGGGATACCAACCCTGCTGTAGCTTCTCCATTATTGCACTGAGAGAGAGAATGAAATACTGAAGTTGGCATGACCGGGACAATTTTTGGATTGGCTAAGTGCAACCCCATGTTAAAAACGACTTTGTATCACATCTTACCATGCTAAATAAATAACCTTATCTTTATACTATTTCTAGGTCATACTGGGCCAAGATCTAGCAGTTGTCAGCCTTTTTGTCAATGTTATTCTGTTTCCTCAAGACTCTCAAACTCTTTCTGCACACATGACATAACAAAAAAAAAAAATGACTCCAGATCTTTTCTACGTCCACCACAAAATCCTGACTGTTAGTCTACAGACATCAGTAAACAACACAGATCAGAAATAAAAAAAAAAAAAAAAACACTTGGCAAGACTTGAAATAACAGTTCTTTTGTCTTGAGACGTCTGTTTTACCATGACAGCTGCCTTACTGATTGAATTACTAGAACCTTTGGTTGACAAAAAAAATCAAATCTAGGCATATACACTTACCTGTCATTTTTTTGTTTCCAATTATATATTTTTATCTACTTCAATTGTAGTAATAGTATCATGATTTCATTTTTATTAGATCAAATATTGTCAGTTGATGGTAATTTTTTGATTAGTATTTCTTTTGTCATTTTCATTGGTTTTCATCACAAATATTCAGACAATAAACAGAACTGATCAGAAATAAAATATAAACACTTGATAAGAACTTAAATTCACATTCTTTTTCCTTTCAAAAGGTTGATTTACAATGCCAGCTGCTTTACTGATTGAGCTACAAGAACTTGTTTTATTTCTTAGTTCCTGTTTGACATACTTTTTTTTTCCTTTTCTCTTATTTAGGAGGAGAACTGGGTTTTACAGAAAATAGGTGTGGCCAATAATATTGCTGCTCATCTTTATTATATTTTAGAAAAAGTGGCTTGGCTGGCAGACACACGAGTCTTGTCTGTACACTCATCACCCTGGTGGACAAGGGCCACTTACATCTGGCTTTTTTCCCTCATTGCTGAAATTTTACAGTAAGTACTTTTTTCTCTTAGATTTTCCCATAATTTGTTTTTTTTAATCATTTCACCCCAAGCAAGGTGATAATGCCACTAGGACACAGGAGATTACAGGGAGTGAAATAGAATGAGAAGATTTTAGTGAAGAGAAGTTAGGAAAAAGGACAATAAAGGAAGAGGATTCAGGATGAGAGAAGATGTCAATTAATGTTGCAAATTCTTGAAATTATTTGGCTGACAACTTTTATCAAATAAAACAAATTTAAACAATTTTTGCATAAACAAATTTAATTTGTATTTTAAAAAAAGTTATATATAAACCAACTATTTTAACTAAAATATTTTGTTTTGCATTTTTGTTTTTCTTTTTTTGTGGTTTATTAATTTATTTTTATTTCAGTGGACTGTTCAGTTTATAATCATCTCACCTAACTCTCACCACCCCTCAAAGCTCATTACATATTCATCACTTTTCCTTCAAAAATTATTTCCTCCAACCCCGGAGACATGACACTGACCCTAAACAAAGCAGTCTGGTATTTCAAATTAATAAACTCTGTTTTTAGAAATTCTTTTCATTTCTCAAACAATAATTTTCTCATCAATAAATTTTATTTCAAATTAGCAATTTCTTTTGACTGTCAATTTACCAAATCCGACACAAATAGTTCTTTTGTCCATTTTCAAAACACACTGCAGATTATTTACATGTCTCCAAACCATATTTTGGATTCCATATTTTATTTGGCAATTCCTTTTGTTTAAATTTCTGGTTTCACTTACATTCAGTCTTTGGCCAGCAGACAATCTTCAAATACCAGCACAGTCGACTGCAAGAATCTCTCTTTATTTGTTGAATTCCAATATGACCTAAATAATTTCCATGACAGTTGGCCGTATTTTTATCAAAACAAAATAATTTATTCCAAATTGACAAAAAAATATTCTTTTACTGTCTTACAATCTACGTTTTGTATTCATAACAATTCTTATTTGCGTTTAAGTTTATAAAAAAAAAAAAAAAATTTCATTTTTTTCCATTTCAATTCCTGCTTCTTCACATCAACATTTTCTTGTTAAATGGTTTTCAACTCTTCAAATGCTCCAATTTTCTACGGGTTTTTTACATGGACCCTTTTAATTCCTAATTCCAAACTACTAGAGTCATGATAGTGTCAAATTCCTTTCAACTACTACCAGTGATCCTTTATGGTGTCACACAGATGCACACACACATACAGTGATTTTTCCAAGCGTAGCTCAGATGTAGCACAAGGCCAAAAGTATGGGGCACCCAGTGAGGATCAAACTTGCTACTCAGTCATAATTGTTCTAGCGAGACAAGCTTGCTAACCATTACACCACCTTGAGGTGCACACACACACACACACATATGTGTGTGTTGGCTGTTGGATTCTATAAGGAGTTCATTCAGCCTTTCACAGGATTTTTTGTTGTCCTGTTGGGTGGCATGAAAACAATTTTTAAAAAAATGGAACAGACTCTCCACTTTGAATTTTAATCAAAATGGAAGATGCTGTGGTCTGCTTATTCTCTCTCATCCCCAGTAACTAACCGCTCCCCCCCCCCTCGGCACCCTGTTGGCATTATCACCTGACTTGGAGTAAAATAATTAAGTGACATCCACAAGTCTCTGACAGAATTTATTGTTATCTGCATAAAAATGCAAACCAATACCTTAAATAAATTATGTTTATGCACACTGAGAGAAAGGGTTTTATTGTGACCAAGAAGCTTTTTCTCAAAAGACTCTTTTGGAAAGAAGGCCAGACTAAAGGTTTTTCAGCCCTCCCTCATATCAAATAGTTATATTCATCTTGAGCCTTTTATTTCTATCAATGTTTTTTTTTTCTTTTCATATTTTTTAGAGTTTTAATGAAGTTGAAGAAATTACATGAAACTCGCACTTTATTCCTGCAGCAACCAAACAATCAAAGGTAATTTACGTTTTGCTTTGCTTTCAAACATTCCTTTTACTTTCTTTAAAACATTCTTTTTCTTTCAAACATTTTTTGCTTTTTTTTTTTTTTTCAAACATTTCTTTTATTTTCTTTCAAATACTTTTTTTTTGAAACATTATTTTTGTTGGTTCTAACCAGTTTGGAATGACCACAAAGAACCTCCTCCTCCAAATATATAGACAGCGTTTTCTGGCTAAAACCAAAAAAGATAATAAAAGCTTGTAAACATCAGTCAAGTTAATTCTTGGTTTCAATATTATTTAATATTATTTTCTTATTTAATGTTCTTACCTTTTATAAAGATTTTATGAACATTTTCCTTGTTTTTATTTATTCTTTTTTGTTTGTTTATATACATTGTGTGTGTGTGTATATATATATATATATATATATATATATATATATATACATACACACATACTCAACTCTCCTGTTGAATTCAACATATGAGAGTCAAACAGATCAGTTCTTCCTAGGAAACCAACAGCCCAACAACAGCACATGAGATTTGATTATAGTAGTGAAGGTTTCGTGCAGGACCATCCACACTTTCTGAAGAGCCGAATACAGAGACGTGGTACACTACGTGCCACAAGGTCCCCAAACGACCCTCCGCAGGTTTTGAATTCAGAGTTGTCCTTCTCCTAGACCAGTTGCCATCCAAGGCTATAGAACCCAGTCTGTCCTACTATTTACCCATAGCTGGAGGGCAAAGAAAAGGATTCACACCTTTCCCAAGGATATTAGTACATAAGTGAATGTAATGGATTCAACTGGAATTTGGACTTGGCTCTCCGATTCCTCAATCCAAGCTGCTATCCATTAATCCACCGTGCCTCCACACATATATATATATAGGTTTGGAGCCACCCTACATTTTTTTTAAAAAAAACTTAAAATTAAATATTTCTGTATTTTTAAAAATTATAAAAAAGTTAAAACATCATGTATCTTTTTCTAATCAGAATTTCTCAAAATGTTCTTGTTTTAATGATCATTGTCAGGATAATGCTCCTTGCCACGTGAAGCCATTGTTAAAAATGGACCGTTCCCTTTTGGTTACTGTCCATTAGGTCAGTAATGGGAACTATTCCTTATTTAATGTGATTTGCTTTTTCTGATATTCTTACCCTTTTTTTTTTTTTTTTTTCTATGCTAGCATTTTCCTTATTTTCTTTTATTCACTTTATACATGCAAACCATCCTTATTCTCTTTGTATTTCATTGGTAAGAAAAAATATCCTGATGAGCTACATTCCTTAGGGCACTAGTTCAGACCTTTACATCTAAGAGTTGCCATTGCTTGTACCTGGTTGAGGTGGGGGGAACGATCCTTATTCCCTTTGCATTTCATTGGTAAGGGGATGAGCCACATTCCAAATTACACTACATCTAACACCTGCTATTCCATTTGCCGGAAAGGTGGTGGGGGTATCCCACCTGATTCCCTTTCGTCTATGGTACCTGGGCTTTATGAATTGAAGCATAGTACTAAATTGGCATGAAGATTTCATCAATTTACAGTTGAAATAGCTAGATGCAACCTTAAGTTCTATGCTAACGATTTCTTGTTTGTGGAACTCTCTTCCAGCCTCTTGCATCCCAGTCAACTTTGATCTTCAAAAATTTAAATGCAATGTCAATCATTATCTTCTGTCTTCTTAATTCTTGTTCTTTTATTGTCTTCTCTCCTTAATAGTAGTTTTTCTCATATTCCCTAACACTCAGCAACCCCTTTGCATCCTAGTGGCTTTATTGCCTTTGATCTTCAAAAATTGAAATGCAGTGTCAATTGTTATCTTCTGTCTTCTTAATTGTTTTTCTGATATTCTCTATCAGTCAGTAACCTTTTACGTCTGAGTGGCTTTATTGCCTTGCTTGGAGTGAAATGATTTAAAAATATAAAAAAAAGCTCCAAGAGATGCTTGTCGGTAGATACACAATAAATCAACACTAGACAGCTTTGTCTGGAGACCAGCAGCAGGTAAAAACCTAAAACGACAAAATACAACACCACCCTCACCTTCAACATGTACTCTTCCCTTAGTCATAGGTAAAATCTGTTACCACAACCAGGCACCTATATATAACCCTAACCCCGAGCCTGAATCAGATGAAACCAAGAACTGGCCTAATTTATTAGCTAGGAAGAAATCCCAGCATGCATTTGTGTGCTTCTGCCTATAAATTGGGGAGGGGCAGGTGTTTTGCAGTCATTCCATATAGGATAGGAACTAACAAATTTTATTTTATTTTTTTAGACAGCATAATTTTATTTTTCATGTCATTTTTGTTTGTTTTCCCATTTCAAGTGGCCTCCCAGAAACACAGATAAAGCTGCAGAGATTGTCTCAAGAGAATACATTCCATCTGCTGACCGTTTTGCAAAACTTTACAGATTTGATCTGTGCTGTCCATTGGCTGCCTCCTGGCCGCCTTTGGTCAGGGAAACTCTCTCACGTGACAGTCGGCCTGCTTGGTTCTATCTCTTCAATGATACGTCTTTATCATGTTTATTTGCAAAACTCCAAGAAGTCCATGAAGACATCCAAGTAATTTTTTGTCAGCAAAGTCATTATTTTTACCCCAGTATTACTTGTTTATTTTGGGTTTTATTCTTGTCATTTTCCAAGACTCAATCTCCAAACACTGCAAGTGAGTCTCTGAAAATGACAACAGCAAAAAAAATCTCATATAGGATACATAACTACAACCCTCTCTTATAGACTCATTTGTCATAGTTCTGACCAAAATGACAACACATGATTCAGACACAATTTTTTCTCTGGAGTTCAAGTGATATTTTTCTTGGCTATCAAAAGAAAACTGAACTAAATGAATAAATAAAAGATGGCTATTCCAGGCAACTTTCCCCCAAAATAATTTAAAAAATCAAAATTTAATATCACCTTCCTCAAACGGAAGTTTAAAATAAATTAGATATACAAGTTGAGTATTCTTTATCTGAAATTCCAAAATCCAAAAGTTTTTCAGGTGCTGACATGACTTGCCACAAATGGAAATTTTTAGAAATCACTTAGAAGATTCCCAGGTATACAGCTGTTTTAAGTGACCTCATCTGGCCTGTGTAGGGTTTCCTCTGCCCAAACATATCACCAACATTTTTTAGGGATCAAAAATAGCAGCATCTTCGTTTGTGGATTACTTACCAGGTGGTTTAATCCCAGTAAAGATATTATTCAAAATGTCAAAAACTCTTACATTTATATACTTTTTGTAAGTAGTGATCATGATTTTTTTTTTTTTTTTTTGTACACATACAGAAAGTACAAAACATTATTTTTACATGAAATCTTAATTTCAACATTTAAAAATCCATGTGAGCATTACATGAATAGTGTCATTGCCTGTATCTGTATGGACACAAAATTTATTAAATTTTATATAAAACTACCGTCAGGGTATATATGTATAAGCTTTGTTATGAAATTGAAGAGTAAGCGTTCTCAAAGCAAATTTGTGGCTTTCACAACACAAAGAAAGAAAATCACTTGTAACGCGTCAGGAAAATAACTCACGAATGCCGTAGCCAAAAATGCCCGAATTTTCCTTCCCGAGTCGAAAACACCAACTTCTTTTTATCGGCAGAACCTATTTTTTTTCCATTCGTCCGACAGCTGGGATGGGATGCTCCGTAATTTGCATATTAATATACTCTTATAGCGACTCCTCCTCACGGACTTGTTTCTTTTTTGTCACAGAATACACGCGACGCGCTGTCGCTTGGGTTGACGAGGTAAGTCGCTATAAGAGTTTTGCTGACTACTTTTTGGCAATCCCTCCCCGGCAGATCGCACACAAAACATGAACTTTTTTCCGGGGTACTTGATTATCTCGTTCACTACAGAAATGTAAAGGGATATAGTACTTATGCTTGGGTTCCATTCCCAAGCTGTCCTATTTTATAGATGCTATATACAAGTTAAACAGCCTGTATTCCAAAATCTGAAAACCAAAGCACTTCCAATCCCAAGAATTTTGGATAAAGGATTCTCAACCTGTAATATAATTTATTTTCTTTAGGCATAGAAGAGGGTGTGTTGTGTACATATTGATCTATAAATATGTACATATTGATCTATAAAATATCAAATTCAATCATATTTGAAAGCCCAGTGCTACTAAATTTTGAATTGACTTTCTTCTCATGAGTAGCCAGAATTAATTTCCGCTTATATTAAAAAGTAATCCTAAAAGTAAGAAGTAGTGATATTCAAAATGTATTGATGCAACCCAATTTAGCAACACTGGGCTTTTGTACCAATTTTAAAATCATATCCGCTATTAATGTTACAGCAAATAAATCAAAACCTGTTTCTGATTTTTATGCATGCATGTTTTAACCTCCTTTATTTTGTCTGTAACTTTTTACTGTAGAGTTATCTCCCTTGAACTATCAACAGCAGATGGCATTGTTTATGTTATGACAATGGCAACAATCGAAAAACAATCACATGTGAAGACACGATCATCCTAAGGACTTAAAATATCAATTTCATATTTGCTATAATTTTTTATGGTATATGTAAATTAATTTCTAAATAATAATTTTATATAATTTTTTTACAATCATTGAATACGGCTAATCCCATTATGTCTTTTCTTAGTTACCTATGGGTAATTGAATGACAAAATTCTGTCGTATGTTTTGTCTGTCAAAAGGACTTCTTCAGACTAATGATTTTATTGATGGAATCATATGTGTGGAGGTAGGGAATGAAATCCAACAAACGCTGGTTGCAGTTCTACATCAAGAAAATACTGAAGAAACAGGAATGCTTAATTTTAAATTTTTGGCATGCAGTGTATCTAGATTCAAAACTCAGCCAACATCCTCCATTTTTTTTACCGTTTTTGTTTTTACCACTATTGTTTTAAATATTGTTTTTAGATTCAATTATTCATCAATGGAAGAAAATCTTATGGACATGATTTTTTTATCGCATAAATAGTTTTGTTATTTTTATCAAAGCTCTTTTTTTGATCTATTGTTTGGTGAGGTCTGTTTATTTAATTTCACAGTCAGGCCGTTTCTGTTCTAGTCTCTGTTTTGGTAACACAACACGTTTTGGGTCAAAAATCAAATTTAATGCGTATCTTTAAGATTCCTTCTTCTATAAAAGAGTTTCAAATGAAGTTTTAGAGTTTGTGATCTTTAACATGGAGCTCAGGTCTTGTGAAATCTTGCATCAATTGAACTTTTTGCCCTCCAGGCTGGATTAGTGGGAGGGACGTTCAAGTGGCTGTTCTAGAGAGGAGGATGTTCAATTGGCCGTTCTGAAGGTGAGGATGTTCAATTGGCTGTTCTAGAGAGGAGGATGTTCTAGAGGGGAGGATGTTCAATTGGCTGTTCTAAAGAGCAGTATTATCTAGAGGGGAGGATGTCAAGTGGCTGTTCTAGAGAGGAGTATGTTCTAGCAGGGCAGATGTCAAGTGGCTGTTCTAGAGAGGAGTATGTTCTAGCAGGGCAGATGTCAAGTGGCTGTTCTGAAGGGGAGGATGTTCAAGTGGCTGTTCTGAAGAGGAGGATGTTCAAGTGGCTGTTCTAGAGAAGAGGATGTTCAATTGGCTGTTCTAGAGAGGAGGGTGTTCTAATGGGGAGGATGTCAAGTGGCTGTTCTAGAGAGGAGAATGTTCTAGAGGGGAGGATGTCAAGTGTATGTTCTAGACAGGAGTATGTTCTAAAGGGGAGGACATTCAAGTGGCTGTTCTAAAGGGGAGGACATCCAAGTGGCTGTTCTGAAGGTGAGGATGTTCAAGTGGCTGTTCTAGAGAGGAGTATATTCTAGGGAGGGAGGACATTCAAGTGGCTGTTCTAGAGGGGGAGGACATTCAAGTGGCTGTTCTAGAGGGGAGGACGTTCAATTGGCTGTTCTAGAGAGAAGGATGTTCAAGTGGCTGTTCTAGAGAGGAGTATGTTCTAGCGGGGAGGATGTCCAAGTGGCTGTTCTAGAGGGGAGGATGTCCAAGTGGCTATTCTAGAGAGGAGGATGTTCAAGTGGCTGTTCTGAAGGGGAGGATGTTCAATTGGCTGTTCCAGAGGGGAGAAAGTTAGAATGACTGGTTTTAGAGAGGCCAAATTTTGAATGACCATTCTAGTGAGGCATATATTCAAGTGACCATTTTAAACAAGACGATGTTCCAGTAGAGAAGAATCTTGAATGAGTGTTCTAGAGGGGAGCATGTTCTGATGTCCAATATTCAGAGAGGATCCATTTTAAAGTGGAGGCTGTTCACACTACCCTTTTTCAAGAGGAGGATGTCCATGCGGCCATTTTACAAGGAAGAATGCTTGAACGGCCATTTTAAAGGGAAGGATACCCAAGCGGCCATTTTAATGGGGAGAATGTTCAACTGGCCATTTTAAAGGGAAGGATGTCCTTGCAACCACTCTAGAGGGGAAGTTAAAGTGATCTGAAATCTTTCTCAGAAAACAGCATCATATATCCAGACATTCACTTTTTAAATACAAATGAGCATGTTACTAAAGAGAGTTGATAGTGTCATTTATCAAGCCATAACTACTGAGCTCTTTAATAGTGGGGGTGGAGGGGGTCTCTTTATGCCTTGTACTTAAGTTGGCTTAGCCCCGTAAATAGAAATAAGTTGAAATGGATTTTCTTGAAATCAATACAAATAAAAATCATCATTAATTTTTTTTTTATATATATATATTTATATATATATAAAATGTTTTATGTGATAAAAGAATAATTTTAATTGCCCCAACACACACACACCCAGTTTCAAATAAACTGTAAAATGTTTTCAGCTACTGAAGAATGTATTGTTGGATTTTATTTTCACACTGAACTTGATTTTTTTTTTTTGTTTTGTTTTTTGTGTAATTGTAAATTAAATACAAATAATTTTCAAATAAAAAACATCCAGATTTTAACCTTTTGCAAAAAGGTTTGTCAAAATAAACATTTGATTGAAACCTTAAAAAAGAGACCACAAAGCAAGAATTGTAGAAACAGCGAATAACTGGAAAACTATACGATAAAAGCCATCAGTTATTTTTTTAATTGATGAATGTTTATTTCTGAAATATTTTTTTCAATAAATTCTTTAATTTGTCAGTTTTGTTTTGTGATATTTTTTCTATCTTTCAAAATATTTTGAAATTTCAGTTTTTGGGATTCTCTTAAAATTAAACTGAAAATTTAAATGATATATTGAAAATCTGGTTTGCAACAAAAAAAAATCAGATATCCCAAAAATATTACTGGCCAAGTTTAACATTCCTGCCCATAAAAAAAAACAAAAAAAAAAAAAACCAAGTATATTTTTATTTACCTTTATACAAATAAATTTGATATCTTATTACTGTTTAACATTTACACTTTTACATTATTTGACTCCTCATCAATGTTTATTTCACAAGATTATAAAATATTTGTCCTCTTTAAACCATTTCACCTTCTTATTGCCACATCTCTCTCTATTTCTCAGATGAGGTATTGTAACTATTTACACTATTTAATTGTTTGATATTTATTATTTTGCCTTTTATAAAATTTATCATTTTCATA